GAAAGAGAAAGGATTTATTAAGACATGTGTAGTAGTTATTTTTCCCTGGGATAAACAAATAAATGCAGAAGAGAGCTGAGCCATGAAACAGATGTAAGATTTTCCCCTGCCCCTTCACTTACTGCAGTGTGATGAAGTCCAATTGGCAAGGACAGTTTAAGTCATTTGGTTACTCATTAGTTAATTGATGTTTCTCCAGTCTTATACACAGCTGCTGAGAAACTAAGGAAAAATGGATTTCCACTTGGACTTTCTTCCTCCAGCCTTTATTCTGTCAGCTTAGCCATGAACTAACCTCACCCCTAAGTATTCTGGACCCCGTGTCACCTAAATTCAAGAAGCAAACCGCCAGTACTGCAAGAAACAGCTGCAGTGAATAGCAAGAGCCACAGAAACCTCTAATGTGAGGCCACTTACTTCATGAGGACTTGCCAGAGTCCACAGCAAGTCTCTTCCCCTTCAGAGGACACAGCAGGTTTCCCTCTTCAGTTCACTCTCAGGGTGGAACTGGACTCGTTTGAAGCACTCTGAGAAGTGGTTTTACCCCCACCTATTTCTTTCAACATCTCAGTTTCTAAAGTTCTGGCAGTGGGTACACAGACACAGAACTACTCTGATCAGCAACTAAGACTCTTTTGGAGCCTTTGATCTCCAGGCAGGAGATCCAGTTCACCTTCTCTCCATGCTCAATGGTCAGTTTTGGTAAGACTCTAGCGTGTTCATTGGAAGCAACTTGGTTGAGCTTCCCACCTTTCCTGGTGGAAGCAGGTGCTTGGGCCTTCCTTCTCTGCAGAGTTTTTGCTGGACTTTTCTGCTGCTTCCCAACATCACTGCTGACATCCCAGAGCAAGATTTTCCCATCATTTCCTCCAGTCAACAAGCAGTACCCCTCAGGCATGAAGAGAACCTGCGACACTCCCAAACTGTGACCTTGAAACTCCAGCTCCTGTTCAAACTTGACACCAGTGACTCTGAATATTCTGACTTTACCATCTTGAGCTCCACAGCCAAAGATGTTGCCGCACGATGCGACAGACAAGGAATGTGCAAGGGGTGGATTGAAGAACTGCCCAGCTGACTGGGGACTGTCCTCCTTAGTTCCACACTCCTGCAGGTTTGTGGTCCACAAGGGGCGAGCCTTCTGCAGGTTCCACAGCATAACCTTGAAAAAAACAAGTAGGGATCAATAATTTGTCCATTTTACAGAATCATCAAATGATGAAGGTTGGAAGGGACCTTCAAGATCATCCAGCTCCAACCCCCTGCATGGGCAGGGACACCTCCCACCAGCCCAGGTTGCTCCAAGCCCCATCCAGCCTGCCCTTCAACACTGCCAGGGATGGGGCAGCCACAGCTTCCCTGGGCAACCTGGGCCAGGCTCTCACCACCCCCACACTCCACAATTCCCTCCTCATGTCCAACCTGAATCTCCCCTCTTCCAGTTTTCATCCATTCCCCCTTGTTCTCTGACTATAAGCTCTTGTCCCTCCCCAGCTTTTTAAGTAAAATCAAATCTTTCACTGACACTAAAAACCAACCACACTCCTTGTTGTAGCAGAGCAAAAGCTGTGCAGGAGTGCAAGGGATGCAGGGTGTGAGGAGGGGTTGAACTTCACCTGAAAAATACAGCAAATCTGGACAGCATCCTTTCCAAACCCTCACCCTGCCTCAGCAGAGCCAATGACTCAGACCTTTAGACCACAACATGGATGAAAAAGCTGCTCCAAATACTTTTCATCTCAGCAGCACTAATCATGATGGACTGCATATCTAAGAGAGTGACAGAAATGCTGGCAGAGATCATTGCCATTCTGAATTTCAGTTCTGGCTCTGCTACCTGCTTGTCCCAAAATAATCACTTCCATGAACCTGTTTGAAAAATGCAACAGCACAGGGCAAACAGTAGTTCAGGCCCTCATTTTTCAACACAGATATATAAATATATATGTATTTTTTATATCCAGTGAGCAGATCTGGTTTGTGCTATGACCCCATGGCAGTAGGGTGCTCTTCTCCTGATGAGATGATGAAGAGGTTGTGCTTTTAGACTTGCCACCCCACCTCCAGGTCCCTCAGGAAGAAATAACTTCATCCTGAGTCTCTCACACAGCAGTTCAAGCACTAGAGACCTGTACTGCACAAGTTAAAATGAATTGTCTCAATACTTCTGTAGAATCTGAGTTGATGATAAGCATTTGCAAGGCCAACAGATAGGAAAGCTCTCTTTGCTTTCATTTGTTATTAATAAAGCTATTCCATTACCAGTCATCTCCAGTTGAAAGCACAGGAGTCTTCAAAGTTGGGCCACAAAAGAACTGTCACACTGGCTCCCGTGTTTCTGGAGCCCAAATCACACTAAGACACCCAAAATATCTTGTTCCTTGTCACTTTTCTGTTTTAATTGTTGCTGTTACTCTAAAACTACTTTGCTACTGATAAAAGGGAGAACTTTCCAAGCCAACTGTGCAGAGCAGAGTAAATCAGAGAGGCTGGGTTCTGCTGCTTAAGGCAAACACTCCCATTTTCATCCAAGACAGCACTGAAATGGCTTTATGGATTCCTCAAGTGCTATCAAGTCTTCTGCAAACAAAGTATTTTCTGTCCTTGTCACACCAGGACAGTCCTCATGGCCTTTCCCCTGCTGCCACAGCACTTCTGTAAAAACCCCAGCAACCCAAATTTCAGTTCGCATCAGCTGTGGCTTCACTGAGGGTTTGACACACGAGCCCAGAACATGTTTTGGTGCTCAGAGAACTTGTCCTTGCTGCAGCACAGCTTGATAGAGCCCTGCAGCTCAGCTTCTCTTTGTGAAAAGCTGGGTCTTCAAGCCAGCCTCTTAGAATCACAGAATCATAGGGGCTGGAAGGGACCTCTGAAGATCATCGAGTCCAACCCCACCCTCTTCTCATTGCACAAAAACACACAAACTTCAACTCTTTTGGGATACCTTCACCTGAAAAACCAACTTGCCAAGCTACAGTAAGCCACACCAAAGCTAAAAAGTCACAACAATAACCAGCTCACTTGCACAAAAGTGATATAAAAAAAAAAGCTCACACTTGTGCTAACAAGTCTCCAGCCACAGGCTTGTGAATCTGCCTTTGAAGGGCCTGAATGAAGGCAGCCCTCTAAGGTGCCAAGCATTTATTTATTCCTCTCTGACACTTTGATACCTCTGACAAGAAGTTTCTCCCAGTCCTTCACTTAAAATCCTGCATCCCCCACCCAAAAAAATAATTTGGAAAATGTCTAAGAAGTCAGCAAAGTTTATACCTAGAAGATTTCCACCAATCAGCCCCTGTTTGGATACATATACTGAATTTCTATGATCCATGGCTTTAATATGGAAAAATACCACTTATACTAAATACCAGCATGGATTTGTTCTAATGGGCGTTAGATTCACTTCACTTTTAAGAACATAGAGTGAAACTGCTCTGTGCTGTTAAGCTTCACCCTAATACCACTAGAACCACAGAAACCTTTGTTGAAGTGATAGTTTTAACCCTCAGGCTAAACCAGGAAGGTGGTCAGATCTCAACCACTGGAAAGAAATGACTGAAAAGCACCTGTTCTAGATGGCCAACTGTGACAACCCAACACAAGACTCCATCAACTCCTAGCCTGGTTTTCCTCAGAATGCTTCCACAAGTGGTGTGCAAAGGACAAAGCTCCCTCCTGATGAGGGGAGAGAAGTGTAAAAGGCAAATAACATGTAATGGTTAATTAACAGATTAATCAGGGCAAAGGATAACTTAGAAAAATGACTTGTCCTTGCAGTGATACATACCACTTGGAAAGATATTTATCTACCTGTAGTAAAACATTCTTGCTGGCATCCTGTCTGCTTCAACTTCTCCTTCACTACAACCTGCATTTTATCTGCAGCCACAGCTGATCAGTAGGAACAGCTTCTGGTTTGGGGACCAAGAGGGATCTCACCTAAAGAGTGTGCTTGGCACCATGTTCTGATTGCCCCCCCCACCCCCCACTTTTAGGTGATTAATATTAAGGCAAATAAAAAGAGGAACTGCTGAGTAGAAAATGTCACAGCCTTGACACTTGGTCTCTCTGCCAGAACTACTTTAAGAGCTTTCTGTAGGCTGTGCACCCTTACTGAAAAGTCTGTTGGTGCTTCAGGACACAGGTGGAGGTAGTTACTGCTTCTCTAATTACTGTCTACTTGAATGCAAATCACCTGCATGTCCAGTCCACAGGAAACAAGGCTTTGAGGCCTCTGAGGCCGAAAACCAACAGAGGAGCAGATGTTTGAGTGTCTCAAGGAGCGGGTGACTTTCTTGTTGTCCAAGTCTATAACCTTTATCACCCCCGAGTCATCTGCAGCAGCCAGGAACTGGTCTGTCTCGTTCACTGAGAGGCAGTTGATCTCCTCCTGGTTCACGTGGAAACGTTCCAGGGGCTCCTTGAGGGAGCGGACATCCAACAGGCTGATGGCTTCTCCATGGGAGGTGTACAGCCTGGTGGGACAGCGTGGAGAGAACACCAGGGAGGTGACATCATCCTCCTTTGGGAGCTGCAGCTGTCCTGCTGGAGTGCCTCCTCCTCCGTGCCACAGGGTGAGCTCACCCCTCTCTGCACCTGAAGCCACCAGCCCTTCGGTGTTTGTGCTCAGGCACAATATAGAGGATGAATGCCCACCAGTCCATTTGACTGCCATGTTTCAAGGATGCCTCTGAAACAAACCAAAAGAAACACAAACAATCCCTGAATGAAGCTGGTGTAGGTCACGTTACAGCAAAAGGCTTAATGAAGCAAGGAGATCTTAGAATGCCAGGTTGGAAGGGATCTCAAGGATCATCTGGTCCAACCTTTTGAGGTAATACTGTAGTTGAAATGAGATGGCTCAGCACCCTGTCAAGCTAAGACTTAAAACTGCCCAACGTAAGGGAATCCACCCTTAGGGAGATTATTCCAATGTTCTCCTTGTGAAAACCACTCACCAAGATCATCCTGTTGACTGGAACGCAAACTGCTCCCAACTCTAGTGTCCAACTGGAACAGGAACCTCTACAATCAGGACCCAGAGGAAGATGTGGCTCAGACAGGATGAGCACCAGACAGGACAGAGAAGAACTGGCACATGTACCTGAGCAGATCTGCTCTGGCACAGCTGCCAGGGGGAGAGCTGCTGCCTCAGCACCTAAGACACCAAATGCCTAACAAAACGTGGTTCCTAAGAGGTTTTACTGGAAAGGAGCAAGGAGAGGATGGCAAACTGGTAGAGCCTGTCTCCAGAGGAGTCACACTGGGGTGAGATCACACATGGGCTTCTTTCTTTTGTCCAGCAGCACCTGAAACCAGTTTGTAAAGCAGCCCTGGAAAACCTGCAGCAACAAACTCGTGCTGCTGAGAGTGGGATAAACTGATGAATGCTGAAAGTGATCACTGTATAAATTCCTGTATAAAACCATACATTTCTATGGATACATTTAAAAACTATGGTGAACTTTCGTGTTCCCAAAGCAAAAGGCAATGTTCTCGCGGCTGGCAGACAGCACAGCCTCTCCACGTTCTGAGAGGCAGCAGTCCCAGCTGCAGGCAGGGTGGCCACGCGTGTCACCGGGCCCCAGGAGCTGCCCACCCAGCTCCGTGTGCCCTGGGCTGACAGGGCCGCCCGGGGGCAGGGAATGGGGCAGGGGGGGACAAACCGCCGAGACACAAAAACAGCCACCGTTTGGGAGAGACCAGCAGGACCG